ATTGTATTGTTTTGTTTTGTTTATTTATTTTTTTGCTTTTCTCTTCTCTCTCACATCGTTGCGAGAGAGAAGATTTAGCCAATTCTTTCAGGTTTTTTTAGAAATATTCTTTGCTAGCTCTTTTTTCTCCCCTATCCAATCTGTTATCTAATATGATTTTTCTCCTCTTTTCTGTGTTCTGTTCTCTTCCGCAGTGAAGCGATCAGTAGATTTTAAATCGCGAGGCGTTAAATTATTCCCTGGCAAAGACTCCAGCAACAAGTTTTCAATATGTGAGTTCAAATCTCAATGTCCCTTTTGGCTAATGAACTAATGATTCTATCTCATGAATTTTATATGTGGGAGGTGCTTGGACTGCTTTTGTTTCTTTTTTTAAGGTTTGTTTTTATTTTACAATATTTTCAAAGAGCTTTTTTGTTCAACACTTTTGTGCATATAAGACAAAAGCATTTTTTATCACATAAATTTCATGTTCTGATCATTGTTTGAATAGTGGTGACAGTAAAATTTAGGRCTGCACGATATTAGAAAATATTTACATTGCGATTTTTAGRAATTTTCAACAAWTGACTTGAAGCACACATTAAGTTATGCTGTCATGTTATGTTGACTGATCTTATCTCTTTTGTGCATGTTAAGGATTTTTTTGAGAGTTAATCTGGTTATGTTTTATTGCATGCTTTTATTTTGGTGGGACCTGAGGACACATTTCCTATCATGTGCCGACATGAATTGTGTTAACGTGTTGCCTCAGTGTCGAGCTTAGTTTCCGTCATGCTAAATATTAGCATTTGCTAAAACCCATTTTACTTTTTTCCTCTTTGTTTTCATCAAAAACGTTGTCGTCTTCCTCCACAGCGCGAGACTTTACCAACATTTCTCTAAAACAATGCCGCCATTATTATTCCAGAAGTTTATTTTCTTACACAAAGCCACCCACAGTGGAAGAAACCCGTCAAAATAAAAGCCATATCATGCCACCTTTAAGTGCAACGACTTGTGGTTTACATGTTGATTTATTTGCTTCCTACATCACAGGACCTGCGATTTGACTGTTGCGCACCCGTACATTGACAATGCTCAAACAATATATTGTGCAGCTCTAGTAAAATATATCATTGGCAAATTTTGATGGATTTAGCTGTTCACAAACGTGTTGAAAATACAAAAAAGCCTTTCTAAAGAACACTTCTTCTGCATTCCGCCTGACTGCTGTGTGTTTTCTGTGCTTTGACTTTCCGTGTATATATGTTCAGGTCATGGTGTCTTGCCTCGTCTTTGTTTGCTTTGATATATTTAATCATGGCTTGCTCTGATAAGCTTAATCGTGGTTTGTTTTGGCTTGCTTGCTCCGGGCTTGATCAGGGAATGCGAATCAGCTTCTGTGATCCTGTTTATCACCCAACACCCCCTTGCCTGTTCTTTTCTAACCTTACCCATGCATTCACATCCCCTCTTTGCTCTTTTCTTCTCTGAAACACCTTTATGCTCTGGTTGTTGAGGTCATCAAAGCAATTACTGAGTTTATGGAAACATTCCCGCATTCATGCAGCCCGACAGCAGGATTATCAAGGAGAAACTAACTTATCAGAATTTCTTTCCGTCTTTTTTTATAAATCATAAAACCTCTGAATTTAATCTCGCTATAATATTCATCTGAGCTAATAGTTAATTTACTCCTCTTTTTAAATTTCCACAATTTCCAAAACTTTGTTAAATATCTATGTGCAACAATAAGTCACTTTTTAAAACTTACTCTTCCACCAGGCAGCCTGAAGGGTAACTGTGAAGGTGCTAATAACCAAGTTGTCATTTGATGTGGTGTAATGGAAAAAATGGCCGTGTTCATATTATTTAATAATGTTCAGTCCCTCTCAGCGCTCCACCTCTGGAAGGACAGGCACAAAAAGCTTGAGAAATYTCCAAGAAGTAGAACTTTTCTCCTTTCTTCTTCTTCATTGAAGTTTCACTTATTAAAGCTGTCAGCGCCCAAAAGATTTATTTTTTTTCTATGCAGTTCCATCTTACTTTTACATTGCTTTGTGTCTTTATTATACAAGTTGTCTGCTCCCTCTTTTACCATCCCCATTTTCACATAACCYACTCAATCGACACACGTTTTACTGCTCTGTGCATTATAGTTAATTGTGCAATATATGTACATCTGCAAATATAAGTGTATGCCTCAATGTTTTTCAATTGTCACTAAAAGTACACCAAATATACAAGTATGCATGCTTAAATCACTGCGGTAGGTAAAGTGTAATACATCAAAAGGCTTTTTTTAGAGAGACAACAGTAATATTTTAGTTCCACTGTAATAAAACTAGCTTTATTAGGTTTGAAAACAGCAGGCAAATGGTATTTTTTGTGCAAGAGAGATCTTCCTCTGAAAATATAAATTATCCTCTGTGTTGTTTTATTTATATACAAGTTGTGCATAACTCTTTCTCTAGGAAAGAAAAAGGTGTAAACAGCATGGTAATCATATGGTGTTTTGTAAATACTGTATATTCCACAGAATTGCTAGTGATTTGTAGATATTACGTAAGTTAACCTTGTTACTCTAAGGAATAAAAAAATCCCTTTGCTATTTAGTGTCCACCAACCAACCAACC